TTATCTCCTAACACAGCCTGAGTGGGGCCCTTTTGAACAGGGGAATTGAGTAGACGCTAGACATGGTGGAGCCGAGAAGTTTAAAGTTTCACACGTCAGTGTAAGACTAGAGAGAACAGGTGTTTGGCAATTAGGAATGTTTTATCTTGGTCAAGGTCGTACTGTAGGCCGTTCACTGTGAGTGACAGGTCACTGGTTAGCCAAGTGATCTGATAGTTACCTCAGGGGCGGTGCTTAAGCCATCATCTTGAGGGTTGGGTAAAAACTAAGGAAAGGGAGGAGTTTAATTTGGACAATAGATTAATCCTTATACTGCGGGCATCGTAGATTTACCTGATAGTGCCGCCAGCAGGCCACAGACTCAGACCTACCGTTAAAAAGTACTTTCTCCCTGGTTGAGTCGTGTTCGGCATTTGCTGGAAAAGTTCCCAGCGCCCATGTGACGATCAGTCCATGAAGTAGCCTACATTGTGTTAGACTCGGCCAGCTGGGAACGAGGTGGAGAACGAGGTGGGGGCGAGAAGGAGAAACAAGCAGGGAAGAAGCTGGAAGAGGAGGAAGAGCTTGACAGTGCTCACGGCTGTCAGAGGTTCTATGAAACTTGAGTTATGTTCATAAATTGTTCATACTTTATCACCTTCATCACACCACTCTAATCCCAGGTGCTGTTCTCGCGCTGAAACAACCCATTACTATCATAACTTTAGCTAGTCACTGTTTGTGTAAACACAACAAACTGGGTATGTCAATTAACTGATTGTTAGAAAATAAAGCTGTATGTCAAGTTTTATACTACATCGTTTGTTAAATTCCAAGTGTATTCAATCTTACCTGTTTTCTAAACTGATAGATAGAAGTACATTTGGTGGGGGCTCAATAAATAATATAATAATTCTTTTATTATTAATAATAACACCGGGAGAAGGTGGATGACGGAGGAATCACTTGCCCTGTCTAATAATTCATTAAGTATGATAGACATCTAAAATTCCTTGCCTTCTCTTGTGGGTACCAAGTTCAGCTAATGTTAATGTACTTAACGAGCCAATATGGCTGTTTTCTTGGATATCCAGGACTTTGTCTGAGAGCAACATAGCTCAGATTTAGTTCGGTGTATCTAGTGGAGAGAATGTGTTGAAAGGAAGATCCCTACTCAACAACATAAACATTTAAACCACGCGTCACGTCACAATCCACAACCTTCTGTCTCGTGTACTTTCAATCAACTCTCACACATACGATCTTCTATGCCAGGATGTCAAACTATCCAGCATCTTTTATCTAGGTCTCCCTCTGCCTCTCCTCCACTCGATATTTTTACTGTCACGATGTACTCCTGTTTTCTCCTTCTCATCACATGACCAAAGAATGTAGACTGTCTCTTTCTGATGTGGACAATCTCTGTTCTCTTTGTGAGTCAGTTTCTTTCAAGACATCTTCATTACTCTTTTTATCTGTCTAATGTAGTCTCGTCATTCTTCTATAAAACTACATCTCCGGAGCTTTCAAATAAGTTTTCGGTAATTTACCGATTGTCCATGATTCACTTCCGTATATCAAGAAAGGATTTTTAAAGCTTTTAGGAATTCTCTTTCTCGTCTTAACTGACAAAGAAATACTGCATAAAATATTCTTTATTTTATAAAGTGCTGCCTTTGATTGAGTTATACCACATTTAACTTCTTTAATACATCTTCCATCTGCTGTTAACAGGGTACCCAAGTATTTAAACATATCAGCTTGCTTGAGGTTTGTCCCATTTACTTTGATACTGCACTTTGGAGCGTCGGTGTTCTTTGTAATTACTACATTTCTGCTTTTCTGCTGAGACGGAGTCAACTTACCCAGCGATAATTCTCCAAACTACGCTGGTACGAAATCCGTTTTCTGCTTTCTTAGATTTCACCAGCATCCCGGCTGAAATGTGTGATCAGTTCTTGGTTCTGTTTAACAATGCCAGAGCACGCAACCTATCGATGAAAAACCACTGGTGTGCTATATATCAGTCAGTCATATCCAAATGTCACCAATCGTTACGTTTCGAGTTTAACCTTCCTTTTTTTTTTGCTCCATATCTCTGCGTACTAGATTTGTAATGCTTCTTAAATTGGAAACCAAAATAAGAATTAGCTTAAAGGTTGAGAAAGACATGAGGATGGCATTATTGAAAAGTCAAGCCCAAATTTTTAAGCGTGTTAAAAAGTTACAAATTCCTTCGTTGAATTAAATGTTTTGTAAATTAACAGGATATTGATTTATACTGAAAAATATAAATTAGATGTTTTATTTACTCTTCTTAAAAAAAAAAAAACTTTTTTTTTAATCTTTGGCGTCGTGGGTCAGTTCACCTCTAAAACAAAAGTTGGTTGCGACTTAAAAAAGGGGTGCTTTTATTTTAGTTTACCCCATTGTAATATTATAGGGGTGTTACAGTGTGTAATGAGCACCGATTAACTCTAACCGTAAACACCACCACACCCCCCCCCCCATCTTTCCCCACAATACTGGACATTCCCGGAAACTCTCGGATTCCCCGAGATGGGGTGAACTAATATGAAAGTACCAAAAAATTTTGGGAACCGCTGGAACTCCTACGGCCCGGCATGTAAGTTACAATCTGGCAGATTTTTTAAAAAGTGAGATCGCGACCATCTGTTGGAACTGATAAAGTTTTGGCATGTAACTGCCTGACTGACACACGTTAGTTTTGTCTCTCTAGTAACTGTATAGCATCTTGTATGTTAGCCCTGGCAAGGATGGGGACGCTAACAGTTGTCCTACTCTTGCTGACTGTGGAGCTTGTAACAGCGCAAGTCTACTTTGGGAATCCTTGTTACCTAATTCCACACAAAGAAGGGTAAGTTTATCGTCTCAGATTTGTGTCCATGACTTTTGCAGCGAGTCATTTTTGCTCCGTTGCATTGCAGTTATCGGGAACCTACACCGCTCCTGCGCCCTGCCCATGCAGAACTGTACATACACGAAGTCTACAGCTGACATAACAAGTTAGTTGTGTATCCTTTACAGGACGTTGCAGAACCAACCCCAGCATTTTTTGGCTGTTGTGGTTTATTATTTTGCCATTGCCTTCTTGATGATCGCCTTCTCTATACCACTGTCAAAACTAACGCAGGGCGCAAGGCCTGCAGTTGGGAACGAACCCGGCACTTAGGAATTACGAAGCGCGTTCGGAACACCTACTGGACAAAGGAGAAATTCTAAAGATCATTTGTGAATAAATACTGACAGAAGACACGAGATTGGATGAAATAACATGTGTAAGAATGTGTGAAGGAAGAATTAGGTGTGGAAGTAGGAACCTATAAAAGGAAGAGAGCGACGTGTATATAACCAGTGTGATACGGGAAAAGTTTTTACATCTATTCAGTTTCGTCCTTTTTAGGACGAAATTTTTTGTTATCTGAAGCCTCACCCTGGCTTTTGCCAGGGGCCGCAATATAGGCAGGCCATAAAAATGGCCAATTGTCTGAACGCGGTTTCTGGGACCTCTCCAAGGTGATCCTCATCCACAAGGTGGTACTCTGTGTCATCGGGTGTTTATCGCTTGTGTGATGTCCTGGTGTGGTAGAAAGTCAGTCAGTCAGTCGGAACAGTTATAGTGTGCACCAGAAGTGCTGCCGAACTTTAAAAATATGTAACCTAGTAAGTTGTTGGAAGTTGTCCTACAGCTTGTTAATAATATGTCCTTGTAAGTTATGCTATTGTTTTCTAGATTAAAAAAGTTTGTGTGTGTGTGCCTTTTTTGCAGTATATGATAAAACAGAGACCGAATCAAAGCAAACAATCAGCATACTTACAGTAACTTGAGTAAATTGAGTAAGGAGACTTTTCAAAATATAAAATTGCACGTGTGCCGAAGGCATTTTACTCTCGGGTGGTCATCTCCAGCAAAAGTCTTCTGCGAGTTAGGGATTTTTCACTGAATAGGGATAGGCTATCAAAATAATCACCACGCATCACTGTACATAAGAAGTGATTTCTAAGCACTCTCCACACCTGTATTCATTACTGTTTATTTTATTTTATAGGGAAACAGAATTAACGAGTCAAACAAACATCAAAGAAATTCCGCGCTTTAAGAAAACGGCAGCATCTTCGCAGTTGTAAACGTTATAATTATTAAGACATGGACCACGTGCACAAGTTTGTAATGATCCCTACAAGAGTTTTCGATATATTTTGTAAAGTGTGACGACATGAGTTGTGAAACTTACTATAACCGGACTATTCACCTTAGTTTACCAAAATAGTTATTGTCACGGACCAGAGGCCCATGCCTCAATATGTAATGATCAATAATACAATACAGAGAGCAACTTACTAGGCCTCCGCTGGCCAAATTTGGCCCGCCGGTCGCCAGTTGAATAGCCATGCACTATAAAATCTACACCTTAAGACATTTGCTGCTGGACACTGAGCATCTATGGGTATGCCCGGCGCGCTATGATGCCAATTCTTTTAATTTTCAAGTTTGGACAACGGATCAACATCATGACACACGGGTAGTAACCCATAAGTGCTTCGTTCTTCTTCTAACTCAAGTCGGAGTCCCAAGAAGCTCAGCACAGTGCACAGGCCCTGTAGCACCAGCTGAGATCCTGAAATACTTTGGGTAGATTTTAAACTGTAAATTTTGCCCGGGCAGCGCCGTAAGGCTACTCTTTTCGATTTCCAACTGCCAAGTGATTTTTTTTTTACGCGCGCAACAAATGCACACGGGCGTCCGATCCCACTACCCAGAGACCAGGGGTAATTACTAGAAGTCCAAGTCCACGTGAAAAAAAAAAAATCCCAGCCCTTACCGGGGATTGAAACCAGAAACTCTAACACTCAAGCGGACACCATGCCTCGAGACCACCCAGCTTCCTAGACAATTCCTAAATCAGTGAAAGAAGGACACCGTGGTGTAAATATTTGATATCTTCTTCGATACTTCTGCCAGGAAACAAAAAATGTAAGATTGACCTAATATATTTCAGTTTACTAAGCGGAAAAATGATTGATGTTGAAATACCTGAGAACTGCACCATTGGAAATGTGGACTGGAATTATCCCAGAGTAAGACACTTTTTTGTTGTCATTTGAAAAAAATATTTTTTTGAAGATGTTTGCAGTAGCTATGTGAGGGATATTCATTACGTTTGTCGGAAAGCCAAGTGGTCTTCTTCAATAGAAACTGACTGCTGTCTGTACCTAACTTCGATGCCTCATTGAGGTCCAAGGTCCAGTTCATAGGCAAGGTAATGATCGCCGTTGTACTTTGTGGCTTGGGGTCCCGGCTGGTTCCTCCCGTTATGATTGTGGTAAGGGTTAAGGTTGGGATGAGGAGTATTTGCCTAGAAAAACCACAACACCCAAACAATGCTGGGATTATTTCTGCAACCTCCTGTAAAGGATACGCAGCTTATTAACTTAGCGTTCGCAAGCTGCACATGTCATGTGAGAAGCGAAATGTTCGTTACATATCATTTTACAGTTCGCGGCAAAGTAAACCCAGCACATGTTGACTATGATTTTACTAGTATTGTTACATTCATTAGTTTATCACTACAACTAAACAAGCGGCTCCGTATACCATTGCCAAGTCAACGCAAGGTGGTCTGCTGCCAAATTCCTCGCCGCTGGGGTGGCTACGGGTGCTTCTGAATTACAAACCGCATTTGTAGCCCATGAACTATGTAACCCTTAAGTAATGTGTTGCACAATTAAATCATCATTGCGTCCTCTTTTACCGCTTTGTGTGTCGAGGGAGATAAAAGGTCCTGCTTCGACCACACATCGTGGTGCTGTAGAGTTTCTCTGATGTTACCTTCCCATCTTGTTCTTGGTCTACCTCTTGCTCTTCGTCTCTCTCCTCTTTTTGTATATGCCTTGTATGGTATAGGATCAGAAGGCATTCTCTCCAAATGGGCAAACTATTTGATTCGTTGTCTTTATATGTAATTTATAATTGGTTATGTGCCGATTCTCTCCCAGACACCTCCTTTCCATGGTTACTAATGTTCTTTTATGTTGTGTTGTGAGTGACTACGTCTGGCATTGGTAGCATAGGATGTGAATGAATATTCTTTGTATGAGATCTTTGTGCTGATTATGATTGCCTTTTGCTGTAAGGGGCTAGCCGTCCTAATCCTTGGCCAGCTTTGCTGCATCGGATGTCAATTTCTTCGTCTAATTTACCATCTTCAGTGAAAGTTTTTCCTACAAAGTTAAACTCAGTTGCCTGATTAATACATGTATTTTCTGATGCTATGTTAAAATGTAAAAGAATTACACAATTCTATGACAGGGAGTAATACTCTTACACCTGACCCGTGCCGACAGCCCATATCAGTTGTGTCTGCAGGGCACCTGGACAACAAATCTTGGTGGAGTCTCCAAGGTGGTTAACGGGGTAGAGACTGTGCTCCCATTACCTACGCGAGGTAAGGTACATCCTCTCGATAATATCTAACAAACAGCCATCAACCATTGTTCATCATTAATCAACAGGTCTTTTACAGAACATCGCCTTGGTCACGACACACTTGAAAACATCTCTTTCTCCAGACAGTTCTCCAGCCCTATGTGCTTTCATAGCCAATTCATCTTCAATGTCTCGCATCCACCTTTGCGGGTGTCTGCTCTGCCTCTGACTCCTTTTCTGGGAACCATACCCTCCATCATTAACAGGGCGGTTTGTATTTTATGTTGTGGTTTACAGCTAAACTGCGATATCTGTGCCTTTCGACCTAACGTATCCTATTTCTGCAAATACTTGATTATTTGTCTTTTAGGCCATGCTTATTAAAGAGCAATTTGTTTATTCTTATTTCTCCACAAACTTGGGACTCCAGAACATATAGGGGATTATCCCTTTCTGCAGCTCTCGTTTCACTACCAATCTGAACAGTGTGTTTAGATTTTAGAAAATGGCGTGCTGTTGCGGAGAGATGGTCTTTACGACCGCTTTTCTCATTAGGGTGTTTATTTTATCAAGCTTGCCACTTGGTCGTCCGGGTAAGCTGACTGCTCTAATTATGCTACGTTGAGATTTGTTGTTTCACCGAGGGTGTTGGCAAAGGCGTCGTTTGAAACCTGATTATAGACAAAGCAGTGTATACAATTTGATTGTTTGCTGTTTTGAGCCGGTCGCTCAGTCATTTCATATCGTCAGCCCCTCGAAAGGTTAAAAGGATGTCGACTTCGCGTCTGTGGTAGTTGGTTTAGGAGGATGGCATTGGCGTAGATATAACTTTAACCAGGGACAACGCATTCAAATTCTTCCCACATCAGCCAGTGGCAAAGCACTAAGAGTTCTTGAAGCCGCCGCGATTCGTTACTTTTGCCCTGAATTTTGTAAACAAAAGGATATGATTCTGACACCGCGGCTGACCTAGTAAAACATGCAGTTGCGTGTGATTGTTGTTGAATATGTACTTTAGTTATAAAGGATTCTGGAAATGGAAAGAGAAATCCAACCAGAGAAATGAATGGTAGGCGAGTGATATCTGCAGCAATGAACCTCACGTGCTCGGAATGCTAAAGAAGCAGAAGTTATAAAGGATTCGCTTATTTACTTCATTTATGTAATTGTTACTGTAGTATGCACCTGACGAGATACAGAGAAATATGTTAGGCAATAAATTGTGCAATCTATTGTTTGTATCTCATTCAGATTTACAACGGGGAAACATAGCTTTGAAATGATGAATTGTCATATACTTTGCATTTTTACTATCTGTTTCACAGTTGGTCCCGGGTTCGATTGCACCTGTGTTTGATTTGACAGTAGACCGCCTTGTGTTGGTTTCGACAATGGATTGAACAACGACAGTTTAACGGGCAATGTCAAACTACTGAACGTAAACATTACACTTTTTTTGTCCACGGCAGATTCCCTATCTTGTACCGAGGATGTTGATGGTAAAGCCCGGCTGTTGGTTAGCGCTACTAGCTCCCTACTCTACATGACCGAGTTCGCCTTTAGAGTCGTTAAGCCAGGATCTCCTTGAGGGCAATCATCGTTGGCTAGCGCCCTCACAGCAAAACCGTCACTTGTATTTGTGTTTCATGTTCTTCCTCTTTGCTACATACATGACTGTCTATGCAACAATACATTAGTTAGTTTATGTTGTTTTTTTCGCTTTTGCCTTGAAGGTGAATACAGTCCTGGGTGCTTTCTTAATATCATACCCCAAACAGGGGAAATCCACAGGTCACGGGGCAGTCTAATATTTCAGGGGGTGGTAGCTAGGCTGCATACAGTCGTGGGACCCAGGCTGCACTCTCTCGTGGGACTAGGTGAGTTGGGGCTTGGGTCAGCTCTAGATGTTTTGGGGTCGTTAAAAGCACCAGTTAGCCGGGAAACTCAGTCTTACAACCCTCTCAAATGCTGGACTGTCATATGACGTCATCTGAGGTAGGATGTTACGAAATAACTCAGCCCTTTTTTAAAAGTAAATTAAAGTAAAGTTAAAGACATTTTCCGGGGCTTTAGGCGTATTATGCATAAATGGTAAGACCTTTATTTTATAGACCAATCGGCACGGGGTGGGGAATATGGACAGCATCTCGCCGGCCGCCCTTACTTCCTAGGACTGTATCTTGTATCCACTAAAGGCTGGGTCGACCTGAGAGCGTTTTAAGTGGATTAGGAGGAGTATTATCATAGAGACTAGACGCTTATCTGCTAAATGATGGTTATACAGGGCTATTCTAAATGTTGGATACACTTTCAGACATTTATATGTCCCTGAATATACATTACATAATAATAATATCATATAAACTTAACAATAAATGCTATAGATGTTTAATACGGCCGCCTTCTGCGGCTCGACAAACATCTAAACGGTAGCTGAACTCATCCTCTTACTCGGAATCAAACTGAAGGGCCCTTGGTGGCACGAACCTGCGGAATGGAGTTGGTTACGCAACAGTACTCTAGCAGTAGTATTCGAATCCTTACATATCATACTCTCTCTCTCTCTCTCTCTCTCTCTCTCTCTCTCTCTCTTTCCCTCTATATATATATATATATATATATATATATATATATATATATATGTATATATATATATATATCATATTTACATTATTTATATTCATTTTATTTTCAAGGAAATATACATGAATGAAATTGATCCATAATTTGGAACAACCAGTATGTTCGTCACTATCTTGGCTTTACACATATGTCGTACATGACATGACTATGTTATAGACACACACACACACACACACACATATATATATATATATATACATATATATATACATACATATATATATATATATATATATATATATATATATATATATATATATATATATATATATATATATAAATATGGACATAATCGTGCACATAAAAAAAGCAAACGTGCATAAGGCAGTTGTCAGATGTACCAACCCTAACGGTCCCACACCAGAACTACAGCTGACTGTTGGCACAGACGGACAATCGCGAAGGCTGGCATAGCACCCGCAAAATGTAGTCTCTCACAGAGTTAGTGCAGCAAAAACACGCCGCGGACACAAGAGAAAAAGAAAAAACACATTCCACATTAAGTCCACAGCTTACAGTGTCGCACCAAGCATTGAATCAGTAGTTAGGTGACAGAACTGTTCTACTCTAATCCCGAAGTGGAAAATTTGCAATGGTAAAACCGAACTCGGGACAAATGTCTTTTCAAAACGCCAGTAGTCAGTCGGCTATGGGTCATTTTGACCGAAAGGAACTCGAATATGACATGTTCATCTTCTTTTTCTTCGTCTCTCTACTCCTGGAATACCTCACGGCGGGAAGGGATCTGCGACGGGCCTTTCTGTTCGCTTCGTTTAAAGTATATTTCAGTGTCTGACAGAAGTTGTTAAGAACAGTAATAGAAAGGACGTTACCTCGGAGAAGTGTCTGGGGTAGAGCAAGCCATGTTACACTATGGTCCAATGAAGATGATAATGAAAATAATATTGATGAAGACGAGGATGATGATGAAATAATAATAAGGATGGTAAATGTTTTTAACCCCACCAACTCATGAATAAACATGCATCATTTTACAGACGCTGACATCAATATGTATTTGGCAAGATAACTGGATAAGGGATTTTGGGGTTGGGGAGGGAGTTGGGGAGGAGAACTCTTAGGAGCTAGAAACATCCTATTCGGATATACCTTCCCATGTGGCTTCTGGGACCCCGTTACTGGGTAATCTAGAATAGACTGACTTTCCATCTTACAAGAATGTCATAAGAGACGACTAATCGGGGTCGGGGGGGGGGGGGGGGGTTCTTTGAAATCGGAGTGCATCTGCCTGAGAGGTAAGGAACCAACAGTCTGAAAACAAATAAGTCAGATCTGTAAAACGCATGTGTCCTCAGCACTCATGTTCTGGAACATGACTAAAGTCCAGAAGAGGACGAACAAACAGATTTTTCCGCCAGAGTTCACAGCCATTGAAAGCAAAGCAGATATTCTGATATGTGGAAGTCAATGATGGACAGTTAACCAATGGGTGAAAATTCATGTGGAAGCGACTGCGGTGTAGTTGTAGAAACAAATGGTGAGTTGAGTTGAGTCAAGAATTAACAGCACAGCACTCAGTTCATTCCCGTGCGTGCTCCGTCCTTATCTTCAGCAGCCAGCGCAGAATTCCAATACTGATGGTACTGGTCACAATCTAGTTGTGTGATTGATGAGAGCTCATTAAACAGATACACATATTAATGAAGATGTCATTAAATAAAATAGCCCTCAAAGAGAACTAATTGCCTACATCCGAAAAAGGCAATCTATATTCTTTAATCATGTCATGAAAAAAAAAAAAAAAAAAAACGGGAGTTCGTTGTGACAGTGGGACAGTGTGAGAAGAAAAGAAGCAGATAAAGACCTAAAGAAAAGATGCTGGACAGGTTGACATTTTGACATGAACGATGGTCTCTTTTAGAATTGATTAAAGGACACGAGACAGAAGGTTGTGGATAGGCATGCCTACCAGAAGAAACTGTCAAAAGATGGAGTGTTGTCAATGGTTTGTTATGAGAGTGACATTCTGCAAAGAGCCTGTTAAATGATGACCGAAAAGATGATAATTATGATTTTAAAAAAATATAATCAAGGCGACGATGACGGTGATAATAAAAGTGTCAATTATGATGATATATGTTCTTAACACCAACAACCCATATAAATAAACATATTTATCTTAGATGCATTTTTTCTACTGACCCTCTGTTATCAGTTGTAAACAAATATGGTGTGATTAATTAAAGTAAAACTGGAAAACCAACGAACTAGCTGGGAAAGAGAGGGGGGGGGGGGGTGAGGGAATAATGAAATTATCAGTGTCACAAAAATAGGAAGACAACGACACGTTATAATTTTAAAGACTGTCTCGCTTTAGTGAAAATTATGATTCCTCGTTTGTATAGTTCGCTTATGTTTGAAAAAGGCTGCCCGGCCGAAACGTTACGTTACTTTGTGTTGTTTTGTGCACGTTTTCCTCTTTCCCATTTTGTTGAGCTTTTTAGTCAAATTTCTCTGGAATTCCTGTTAGTGAAAATGAATACAAAGGAAAACTGCATTATCCATTGCAGTTTTTCTTTCAAAAGTTTTTGACTGTTGTGGAATACTTTACTTAGAGACTTGTACTTTGTTAAGTACCTCGTTTTCTATTATCTAGCATTATATGTTCTTCTTAACAATACCTTAACTCTCTGTTTCTTGTATCTAGCATTGTGCGTTTTTCTTAACATATAAACTGTTTCTGTTACCTAGCATTGTGCGTTTTTCTTAACATATAAACTGTTTCTGTTACCTAGCATTATGCGTTTTTCTTAACATCTAAACTGTTTCTGTTGTCTAGCATTATGCGTTTTTCTTAACATCTAAACTGTTTCTGTTGTCTAGCATTATGCGTTTTTCTTAACATCTACACTGTTTCTGTTACCTAACATTATGCGTTTTTCTTAACATCTAAACTGTTTCTATTACCTAACATTATGCGTTCTTCTTAACCTTTAAACACTCTGTTTCTCTTATCCACCATTGCGGGTTTTTTTAACGTGTGTTAATACTCCTCATATCCATCTGTTGCTACTGTAGTTTTTGGCATACCTTTACTTACTTTTGCCGATTAAGGTTTTTTTCCCTCCAATTTTGTCATTTGCAAATAATTTCTTGCGACACTTCAACCTCCCTCATTCCCCCCGCCCCCCGCCCCTCAATCCCTCCCCTTCCCCTCCACCCCAATTTCACCACTCAGAATTCTCAATAATAACATCAGTGGGTAGATTCAGAGACGATGATTATAAAACGGGTGGATGTTCAGCTGGAGTTGGACTTTTGTACATGGTCTGCAGAAGGTTCTAGTTTAATTCCAAAGCCAGTGATGAACATGTTGATGACGGTAATGATGAACACAAGGACCATAGTGATGTAGTTGAGATGGGAGGTAATACGATGTCCCAGGTAGCTTATTTGTCTCCTCAGGTAAGAGTTGCGGGCCGCGCTCATTTCTGCGGTGTCTGTTTCACTTTTGGCGTCGGCGAGCTGCAAGGGCAGTCACATAAAATTTGTCAAGACATGCACTACCCATAGAGTGGTGGGTGCGAGTGTAAAAAAAAAAGGGGGGGGGGGTGAATATATGAAATATTATATGTAATACATGTTGTGAAAACTACATTTAAAATATCTGAAAAAATAATTGCATTGTGGAAGAAAACAACATTTAATTTTCTTAGACCCATGCAGATTGTAAGGGCCGAAACTCTCTCTCTCTCTCTCTCTCTCTCTCTCTCTCTCTCTCTCTCTCTCTCTCTCTCTCTCTGTGTGTGTGCGTGCGTGCGTGTGTGTGTGTGTGTGCGCGCGCGCGCGCGTGTGTGTGTGTTTTCGTATACCTTAATTTATAACTTGGTACGCTGAATAAAATAAAGTGGTTCGTTCACATGTGGGACGCAGTTTTTCGCTACTTTGAATCCCCACTCTGGCTGTAGCCCAGGGCCCTAATAAAACCGAACTTATAGGTTGAACGGGGCTCTTAACAATTATTCCTGCGTACAGATAGACTGGCTGGCAATGCAACACTTGGTGGTGAATTGATGTATTACAAGTTAGATATTGTGAGGGCCCTCTGGGAGCGAGTGAACAGTGCGGAGGCGCTGATAGATCATAACGGTCTAAGGAGAATGGCTCTGCGAGGAGCTACCAGGCGATCTAGCAAAAGCTCAACACCCAGGGGAAGAATGAGACGATATACAATCAGATGATTACTAGTACCATCGGAATAGGAACTCTTAGCTTGCTGCTGAAGATGGGGACTGGGCACTTATTGGAGTATCCCGAGTGATGTGATGTCGATTCTTAATTCCGCATTCAACATTCAACATTCACTGGCATATTTTAAAACCGAAATAACATTAGAATTTAAAAGTTCCATATTGTGTTCAGGCTTTTAAAATCTGCCTATACCTTGCTAATGGGTCTCATAATTTCTTTCTTTGTGTTTCTTAACTTTAAAAATCACTACCTAAATAAGTAAACTGGTCTGGTACTTGAATGTCTTTTGTTTCTAGTGTTGCATGTCTTCAATATGTGTGTCTTTTTATAACTTTTTTTCAATCCAACTTTTGGTGCTGTATTTAAATCAGACGAATGCTAGGAATAAAGCCAGTCTTACATGTCATCAAAGGGCTTGGTGAAATGAATATCGCTATATATATAGACAAGTGCCCATTTAGTTTTTTTTTGTTTTTGTTTGTTTCATTGCAAAGTCTTTGATCAGATCCTCAAAGCTAATTGTATGTGCACAGATCTGCTTCTAGACACAATAGGAATAAGACATCAAGCCACCTTTGTTTCATTGCTGTTCTGATTTGCTTGTTTTCTTGGGCATGTCACGTGAATTTTGTTTCATTTATAGATCCCTAAAAATTTTATATCATTCATTGTGTTAGGAATAATCAAATAAAATCTAACTGTGTTTCCACGTAAAGTGAATATAAAGAAACCATGAGTTGTTCACTCTTTGTCTCGGTACTGTGGATATCGCAACAGTTTGGTCTTGATTCAATGAAAGATACCGTAAATCTTGGAGAAATGTGACTTTGCTGCTGGTGAGCCGGGGCCACAAGGAGTTCGTCACCCGGTCGCCACTCAGTCAGGTTTAACCACCTACGCTAGCAAGCTGAGTGCCAGGTAAGGTTAAATGCAACAGCACAACTGATTACCTCACGCAAGGCTTTCAGATAGTCGTCTTTTTGGTGTTGCTCGCTTTCCCTCATCCAGATAATGAAGATAAGAATGGCAAACAGTAATTGGAAAGATAATGACAAAGCGACCATCACAATTAGAAGTACCGAGTAGTCGATATCTCCACCTGTAATGAGATAATTGTGCAATGTGAATGTGACAATCAAGGACATATTTTACAAAATTAGTTAGCAGAGGGAATTTTAACATCAGTGACTGGGTCGCCCATTGGCTGGCCGGTAGACGACTTCGTCGATAGTCTGGACAGTATTTCGGTCTGTCTTCTTTGATCATATCAACAATGCAGGAATCCTATTCAGGGCTTTTGGTTGCATACAATGCTGAGCCATTTTAAATGACGAACATAACCTGATTGCAATTATAACCGAAAGCTCCCCCTTCGGAATGTTAGTTGAACGTGAAGGTTTTTTTTTTCAGGTAAAGCCAAGCCAAACCAATGGGATATCAACTAGCTGGTTAAGATAATTTTGCCTTAGCCACTTGCTTGATTGTTTTGTTGGACCGGTTGGCTGGTTTGTTTACTCAGCTGGTCTTTTCTGTTTAGTCGGTTGGTTGTTTTTGTCTGGTCAGCTGGTTATGAATGTGATACCTTGTGTAGATATAATCACTGTGGCCGCACTTCGAGATGTTCATCGATTAACAAGCAATGCATTTATATTTTCTTTCGCCGCCATCATCGTAATGATCATTATCATCATCCTATTGTTTCTTTAAACGTCACATAGTCTGTTTATCCATTCCTGTCTGTTCCCTTTAATCCATTCGATACGTTGGATGTAATCCAAGCTTCTTAGACCAGAATTTGCCATGACATTTTACCTAGGTTTTCTCGTTTTCTCAGTCCATTTGTTTTAATATCTGATAATTTTATTTTCTCTTAGTTTTATAACTGTTGATACCCTCGGTTGTCTGTTGCGGAGCCTGTAGTCTGTTATCTATCTTACCTCACTTTTGCCATTATCTAGCATTATACGTTTTTTTAAACAACATCTTATCTATCTGTTTCTAATGTCTATCTTTATGCGTTCTTTTTAACATCTAAACTCCCTGTTTCTATTATCTAGCACTATATATGTTATGTTTCTTAACAACATCTTATCTATCCGTTTCTATTATTTTTCATTATGCATTTTTCTTAACATCTAAACTCTTTGCTTCACTTACCTGCAGTTAAAAGTGTTCTCAACTGAGAAATATTAGCCATCATCAGTGCCACGTCCATCAGGGCCTGCGATGCCGTTTTCCTCATGCTGTACTGGTTGCTGGACATTAGGGGCCCCAGCTGGACAATTCATTAGATAGAATTAATTATTGTGTCATCACTTTGTGATAATGCTGGAATTATCATCTAAATCATCATCATCAACATCATCATTATCAACATCATCATGTGTACTGTCAGCTGGCGTATCCGCTCATGCATCTCCACAGATCACGATTCCTGGTTGCTAGAACAGATCTCTTAATGATATCCCTCCATGCCATCGTTTCAGTACATCTAGCATAGTCTCTCTTGGTCTGCCTCTACCCCTTTTTCCACTGATCTTTCCAGTTGTCACGATGTTCTCAAATGTCCCTCTTCTCATTACGTGGCAAAAGAACAGCTTATTGTTGTATATAGAGATCTAGTTTCATTAGCTTCTTTCAAGCAATCGTTGTTAGTTACTCTGGCTGTCCAAAGTATTCGCTAGTTAATAAACGTCAAATCGTTTTCCTTTAATTGAAATATCGCAACGTGGAATTATCTTCTTCTTTGAAATAACATTTGCTTCCATTTTCTTAATATTCAGTTAAAGTCCTTTCTTGTCACTCTTCATCCCCACAATATCCAGCAGTTGTTGTAAATCAGTTGCATTTTCAGCTATCAAAACTGTATTGTCTGCATAACGCAAATTGTTTATATTGTATCCTCCAACTCTTACTCCTGCATTCTCTTTAATTTCCCTCAGAATTATTTCACTTTATACAAGGAAGAAGTCTAAGAATAAGACACATTCCTGTCTTACTCCTTGCTTTATCTGTTCAAAAGTACCCAATCTGTTTCCCCTCTAATTGCTGCTACTTGATTCCAATAAATGTTTTTTATTATTCTGAGCCCTTTCCCATCCACACTGATGTCTTCCAACATTTGTATCATCTCTTCATGTTTAACTTTGTCAAATGCTTTGGTATAATCTATAAATCTTTGTGATAATGCTGGGATTTTCATTGAAACGATCAGTTTCACGAAAATACGATCACAGCGGCTCGTAATAACTTCAAAGACTTTCTCTGTTTACCGGAAAAAAAAATGCGAACGAAAAAGACATCATCCATTCCAGTTTTCCTCATAAAGTTATGATTGTCGTGAAATATTATATTTTTCTCAGAAACCTTGTGTTTTGAAACATAATGCAATCGGTGACAGGTGGGGAAAAAAGAATAAAGGGGGGGGGGGGGGGGGTACTTCAAACCTGCAAATCGACGCAGTAATGTACTAGCTATGCGACCCTAAGAAGAGGAAATGCAGCATGAAAAAGTAATGTTACGTCAGTGAAGACGAAGCCCCAGCTCCAGTTAACTACTTCAAGTCACAAACCAAGAAACTCAGACAGTATTATTACCATGAGATTATGAAAATGGCTTGGCCGTGTTATGAGAATGAATCCTGATATACCTGCTAAAACAGCTCTCACATGGACACCAGAGGGAAAGAGAAAAAATGGGCGCCTAAAAACAACATGGAGACGAACGATGGAAAGTGACCAGAATGCGGCATCTCTGACAAGGAAAACTGCACTGAAGATTGCACAGAACAGGAAAGCATGGAAAGTCCTCTCTAAAGCCTCATGTGCCACTAGGCGTAAAGAGAGCTGACATGACATTGACACTTAACTCCAGTTGGCAACCGGTTTAGGCGGAAAGCTTTGCCAGGTAGACAGATAGAGCACTGCTCTTCAGATCCGCCATCTTCTATGGAATGTTTTATTTTCTAAACATATTAGTGATGCCTTTCTTCTGGAGTACACAAGGCAGGCAATGATAGGGTTCTTGTTTCATAAGAAATATACGGGATGTACGAAACTGCTCCTGGGACTTTGTAATATGGAGAGGAGGTCTTGCTAGTCGTACTAACCATCGCCATAGGATGCGATTATCATACCCCCCTATATCACAGTGTAACACTATTGTCTGAAATTATGAAAAGATGCCATAATGTGATCATAAACTCCTAAATCAGAAATAACCCACCTTCCCTTCGATGTGACATAAAGGCATCAACAGATAGTTTAAACAATGTAATATGTGGGTGTTTTTTTTTTTTTTTTCAACTTGGTTTTAGGCAAACAGGTGTTTTGCCTGGTGTGCTTTTGAACGGAGCAGGGGTTGCCTCCTTGCGACCTCAGTGCCCGCAGTCTGGCTGATTTATACTGACCCACTACTTCCAGAGACGCATAAAGCACTCACGTTCAGCCAAACAGTCCTCGTTTTTTTCAGCTGGGTTTGGGGGCTAATCTGCAAATTTAAAACAACCCAGCTATCCTTCAATATTACATGAAGACATCAGCTGAAAGTTTAAATAAATGTAAGGTTATATGGTGATTTGTAAGTGATTCCGCGAGCTTGCTAATGAAGATCGAGACAGGATGGTTGCAGTCGGTGAGGATATCTCATCTGACAGCAATAGGTTGTTTTTTATTTTTATTTTAGTGCCAAGGTACTCTGGGGTAAGAGAGTATAAAAGAGCGGAATTTCTTGCTGGCAGGGCCACGTTATGTACAGAAAAAGCAATAGACCGAGCCGAAATCAATGCTCTCAATGAGGCAAGACGAGAAGATGGTTGATTATTTGGGAGAGGACGATGAGTCGGCAACTTTCAGAGGACTACAAGAGTTTCAGGGCACAAGAGGTGTCGCCAGACATGAACACTTTGGTAACCAAAGAAGAAAAGTAAACTAGCAAAGAACTAGTGTTGTCAGTCAGGCACACCTTGGGTGAAGTGAAGATGGGATCCGAACTCGTATGCACCTGACGCTGTGCAATAAGGATAATATGTCGGTTAACTAACTAATTTAATATGGTATGTGTATATTACCGACTGCTCAGAAAATGGGTCATACCCATCTGCAATATCTGGGTGTTCATCTACGCCTTTCTCTTTGGGAGATTGTTGGTCTCTCTCCTCAGTACTGCTCGATTCACTCTTCGCCTTACTGCTACCAGAGCCTATGTGGCCCTCGGAAGTTGTGTCGTCCCTTTTGTCCACTGACACAGCAGCCGTTTCATGTTCAATTGTGGACATCTCTATGTCTCCAGCTTCGCTTTTTCTTTAGAGAAAACAAAAACATTTATTTTTAATAATAAAAACCTTTATTAATTAATCGTTAAAAAAGCATTTTTAATATCTCCTAATGTGCACGCGCGCGCGCCTGTATGCGTGTGTATGTGTGTGTGTGCGCGCGCGCGTGCCTGCGTGCGTGTGAAAGAGAGAGAGAGAGAGAGAGAGAGAGAGAGAGAGAGAGAGAGAGAGAGAGAGAGAGAAGAAGAAGGATTTCAGCTGAGTATATTAGAACATCAAATAATAACTTGACTACAACTAAAACGAAACAAAATCTCATTACCAACTTCATTACAGAGTCTTACGACGAATCGTTGACACCACCAAGATAAAAAATTGCGGAGAAAGACGGCTAGAAACATCGACATTCATCATCATCATCAATCAGATGCCACCTTCAAAATTAACTTGACTCTGTCTCTGGTCTGGTTGTACACTTTCTCAAGTTCATCAAATCTCTTAATGTTGTCCTCCCACTTGTAACTTTGTCTGCCTCTTGCTCTCTAGCCCTTGCCCTTTCCCTCCAGTGTGGCTTTTTAAATGCGTATTATATCTTTTAATGTGGCCAAAGTATGTCAATTGTCTGTCTTTTTTTTTTTTCCTTTCAATAGTTCGTTTTTAATTTGCAGTCTTGACAGAACCTCTGTATTTGTTTTTGTTTCCATAAAATACGACCTGTTCTTCTGTATATCCACATTTCCGGAGACTACATTCGATTTTCTAGTTGCTTGTTCAGTGTCCAGGTTTCTGCACCACCCAGCAGAGTTGAGTATACCAAAAATTTGACGATTCTCATGTTTAATGTGGTGTTTCACCTGGATATACTGTCCGGGATACGCAGGAGTACGAGGGAATGAAAGAGCGGATTATCTGGCTTCAAAAGCGAAACCTACGGGAACACTCGTATTGAGCAAGAGATATATTTTGAAGAACATATATGAACGACTTTCGGCAGAAGACACGAGATTAGATGAAATAACATGTGCAAGAATGTATGAACGAGGAATAAGGTGGTGATCCATCAAGGAAGGGACGGATGAGAGGAAGAGATTGGCATGTGTATAATCAGTATACTACGGGAACAGTTAGCATCTACACCTTACGTCATTTGCTGCAGAAGACGGAGCACCTATGGGTATGCCAGGTGTGCAATGATGTTGATTCTTAAATCAGTAATCAGTAATGTGGTGTTTATATCTCTAGCTGTCACTTGGCTGTTCAACGAGAAATTCGTTATTTGTAGAAATCACCACTATTGACTGGCATCGTGAGAGCTAATAGACTAATTTTCTTCTGCCTTTCTAGTCCCCAATGGAGCAAAGGCCCTCAACCAACTCACGCCAAGTGGTTCTATCCTTCGCTATTGCATGCATCTCTCATGGCCTCCCCATCTTTCGCCTATGTACCACCAGGGCTCTCGCGGGAAGCAAAGTATAGTACCACTACACCCTTCCAGCCATGTCGTTGTCACATATCACTCCTGTCACGTGCCTGATTAAGGATTTCTCCTTAAGAACCAACAGCACTCAGAAATAATTATGTTGAGTCGTTTGGCTCGTATTGGTCTAAGGGATTCCCCGTGGCCAATATACGCTCAACTTATTTCTGAAGTAGGGCAAATCAAGTTTTGGCACTACAAAATATATCTGTATATGAATACAATACTCATGGGCACACTTGGCTGGACACCCCCACTGCTATTAAAAGAAAGATAGTTCATTATCATAACCATGTTAACACATATAATATTTATGATTCATACACACACAAATGCTAAACACTTAGAAAGGTGAAATAGAGACACCCAAGTCAGCCATGAAAATGAATGCATGTAATCATTACAACATATACATATATATATATATATATATATATATATATATATATATATATATATATATATATATATATATATATATATATATATATATATAATAGTGAAGTAGATGCCAGATCTCAGTGGATGGATCCCAGAATACAATGACCAGAATGACCAGAATTCTAAACAGCCAGAAAGTCCTGGAGGTAACACCTTTTCATCCCTGGAATACATTGGAGCTGTGGGGAATATAGCATGATATAGACATAACTGGACTTATCCTAGTTCTGCTGTTGATGCTTCCCTCAGCTCCTGGTGATTCGACTGTCTATGACCCTGGTACTTCTGCTTCCAATGGATCAGGTAGTCCTCACCATCGAGGACACAGACACAGTATGAGTACTCAGCACGTCTTTCTCACCAGTCAAGTCACAACACTGTCTCTGAGGTACACCAAGCTCTTGAACACTGGTCTACTCGAGTATGGATATACTCTCTACGAATGTTCACCTGCCCTGGAGTCACTCACATGCTCTGGCACTGTTAGGCTGTTTGAGGTATATGGCACCCCATACTGATGATATCAGGAAACTTCACAGGTGTTAGCTGGTGGGTAGTTGGTTAATAGGTTGGTTGGTAATTGGTTGATGGTTGGTGGGTGTTGGTTGGACTGTGATTTTTCTGCCAGCTCTTCACATAGGTTTCATCCCAAGCATAAGAAAAGCCTAGACATTTCAGGCCGCCTTCTTATTTTGAAATATACTGAGGCGTCAATGGATACAACTGATCTCCAGAAAAGCCGGCAGAAACAATGCCCCAAATATTCAAGTCAGGCGTCATAAGAAGAAGTTCCTTGTATACATGAGCAAGGAGTAAACCGGTTTCTAAGAATATACAATTAACTCCAGCAAAATTTATCATCCAGTTGCAAATTTGAAAATGACGCTAAGTCAAAGCAACTGGAAGATGTAGGTATCATAATTCTCTCCGATCAATGCATATATCGATATAAGGGACTATATACCTTTCCGGACGAGTCCAAGTTTGAAAGTTTTGTTGAGCACAGGTAATACAGGTCCCGACTCTTTTAGGGGTGATGTGTAATGGCTTGTCATTCCTTGACAGTACCCCCCCCCCCCCTCCCAAAGGGAAGAGCGTTCTAATCGAATGAACAATGACCAGCCATCTACACATCTATGGACTCACTTCTTTCAGCTTGCTCATCACCTTCAGTCTGTGAATTATCAGACAAGGGATGGCAGCTCAAAACATCTGTTCTGGATCAAAGGGTTGACCAAACCAACCTCTCAGAGACAGATGAAATATATACAATAATGACAATCCATGTGAAAATAGAGAAACCTATGACCACTATACACCACTAAATCAAAAAGGAATCTATAAAGAATCAGTAGATGTCCCTGAGGACCTAAGACTCTGATGATTCCATCCATGTATCACTGATCCCTGCCAGGTACATGCAAAGATGTAGGTTCAGACCGAACCCCCCGATCGGGTTGGCTGAATAAACCCACACACCATCCTGGTACTTCTGTCATATTCAGGTAATATACCGGTGTGTCTCCTACATCAGTAGTCACACAGGAAAGTCGTCGAGGCATGTGGGATATAATCCCTCCCGTCTGATCCTTTGCGAGGTTCGGAAGGATTATCCTCCCCTCGTCACTATGTGCTCCAATAAACACAGGAAGGAACCCTGGTGTGAATTGAAAATTCTTCACCTTCTGGTCCTCCTGATGGTCTGGAGGTTGTCTCCATTCCTCTTTAAAAAGAGGAGCTTGCACAGGGCATTGACGAAAAGGCTCAACAGGAACCAATGTCGTAAAAAACTCATTTAATGAAGTGTGCCCTGGCTTCACTCTCAGGACAGAGTTACACTCTGACAAGAGTTGTTCTATAGCTTGTTTCTGGTAGACAGAGAGAGTTGGGTTATTCTCTACATCTTTATATGTCTTCCTGGGGTGAAGAGGATATTCCACAGCTGTGGCTTCTCCACCTTCCACCTCCATAGCTACAGAAAGTGTCAAGAGGGTCGGTGTGTCACTTACCTCTCTCTCGTTGTATTTCCGGAGGAGATTAATGAGATAGACCTTTGACTTACCTTTAATGTTGATCTTATAATGGATCCTGGATATCTTTTCTACCACCGTATAAGGGTCTCCCCAAGCTAACTCAAACTTAGACTTCCCTGATGGTAGCAGCAAAAGAACCCTATCTCCAACCTCAAGACATCGTTCCTTCGTCTTCCGGTTGAAATGTGCAGCGTACCTCTTACGTGCACTAATCAAATTCTCTTTAGCCAGGTCCCACCCTAGCTTTAACCTTTCCTTGAGTTCCTGCACATACTGTGATATGGTTTTCAAGGAATCATCTGCCTCTTCGTCTGTCCATGTCTTCCTGAAAATGGCCAAGGGTCCAGAAATGTGTCTTCCGAACACCAAGGTCGCTGAGATCCATTGTCTGTCAGTATCTGCGAAGGGAATCCCACTCTGGTGAATATGCTCATCAATGCCTCTGCCACAGTCTTACTGTCAATCTTCCGAAATGCAATAGCTTCCGGATAACCTGAACAACAGTCTACCAAGGTCAATATGTAAGCATTCTTCTTCTTTGTGAGAGGAAGTGGTCCCACCAAATCGACCGCCACCCTTTCAAAAGGTGTGGAGGTGACAGGGGTTTCCCCCAGTCCGACTGGTGCATTCCTGCCTTTGGGAGCTACCTTCTGGCACTCCGGACAGGATTTGACATAACGCATGATATCTGCTGACATACCTGGCCAAAAGTAATGACAGGCAATGCGTTGTGTCGTTGCATGAATTCCCATATGGGCACTATAGCTATAGTGTGTCCCATCTGGAGAATCTGCTGTCTATATGTTTTGGGTACTACCAGTTGACTGTGCTCTGTATACTTGTCACCTGCCCATCTGTAAAGTAACTTACCTTTCATGAAGAATTCTTTCTTCAAAGGGGGATTGTGACTTGCAGTAAACTTTTTAAAACATGCCTTAAGAGTTGGGTCACTACTTTGGGCCACCTTAATTTCCTCAGGAAGAGGATTTCCATGAGGAGAATACTCTGAGGCACTCTTATGTTGTGCTCGGGTGTGCTTTCCCAGTGGTGCATCTGTGTATTTCATGGGATCTTCGGGGCAGCACCGTTTGGCTGACAAGTGCAAATTATGTAAGTAGAAAATAGAGTTGGAATATGTTTTGATGACTGGAAATATTTACGAAAAGAAGGGTTGGGGAAAAGAACACATAATCCGAATATTTACCAAAAACTAAAACACACATACACAAAATAAAAGTTTTTTTTTTTCCTCTAAAAAACTTACCCTGAAGTTGAAGATACTGTACTGCTCATTTTCTCATAATTTTGTATTCAATATTTAACATTTAACAATGTTGTATTCACTGTCAAGCAACATTAATTCACCAATTCCAGTTCAAGGTTTTTAAAAAAAAGTTGTTGAATTTCCTGCTAAACTGTATTGTATTATATTGACGCGATGATTGCCAGAAAACGTTACTGTGTGTAGAGAGGGTATTCCTACAGCACGATACAGTTTCAGTGAGAAAATATTCGCCGAATTCCGTTTGTATCCAGCATACAGCAGATGTGGGTAACAGGCGATGACAAACGAGAGAGTGAACGTGCTGAAGGTTTTAGCTGTGTTGTGATAGAAATTATCTTTTAACAATGGACCATATATATCAGTCAGTGTTTGGCATGTTATCTATGACAGTTAACAGAAGCTGACGCGAGCTAACTTTAACTTTGCTTACATTTAGGACACATGAATCTATCTGTCTCTGTGTTTGTGTGATTAGGGAAAGCTGTGTTCCGTTGGGGTGTGTGGTGATAACAGTGTCCAAAACATGTGGTGTAAACATTACTCAGATGCCCTGATAACAGCGGATGCAAGATGCAGTGGTACCTCTCTCCACGAACGCATCAGGTCACGAACAAATAGGTTCATCATCATCATCATGTAGCAGGTCCTTTGCAAAACGTCGCTCTCATCACAGTCTGCCTGAAAGAAACTCGGTCTCTCGCCAGTTCTCCCGCCTCATCAACTTTCACACTCAAGAAGTCACTTATATCCTGTGCCCATCTTCGTGTCGGTCGGCCCCAGGCCCCTTCTTCCTGGTACCATGCCTTCTGCTATAATTTTTCCAATCCGTCGTGGCGCTTGATATGACCAAAATATTTCAGCTTTCGAGAAAGGATGCTGTTTATTAGCAAATCTTTCTTGATGTTCAGATCTTTTAAGATGTCAATATTTCTCATCTTCGTTGTCCAAGATATTCTGAGAATCTTTCTATAGCATTTCTGCTCAAAAGCCCCTATTCTCTTTCTTAAGGAATGAGAGATAGTCCACGACTCACATCCGTATGTAGCCATAGGGAAGATGCATGCTCTCAAAATTCTAATTTTTATCTCCTTGCTGGTGCTTAACCATAGACTTTTAAGGCTGTTCAATCTTTGCGTTGCTATGGCCATCCTCCTTTTAATTTATGTCGAACAGTCTCCATTGTTGTTTATTATAGAGCCTAGACATTCAAAGTTTGTGACATGTTCAATTTCTTCATCATTTATTGTTATTTTTGGGTGACAGCCAGTTTTATTTGTACAAATAGGTTCAGGAACACAAATACCAAACAAATTTTGACTTGAACCGCGAACAGTGCTTCGGCTCATAAACTCTAAGTGTCAAGTTTTCAGCTAGTATTAGTTGTACTCATGTTTGTACGCTGTGAACATCGTCGTTACCTCGTTCTGGATACTTTTTTTTCTTTCTATATTTATTAGAAAGTGAGAAGTGTTAGTAACAGTGGGGTAAAGAAGCCTAATTGTATTACAGTAGATACGAAGAGTTGAGTTGAGTCAAGAATTGACATCACAGCACTCCCATGCATGCTCTGTCCTCATCTTCGGCTAATATAAATTTATGTAACCTGTGGTGCCATTTAAATGGTTTGGGATTAATTCTGTCCGTATCAACAGTTGTAGATTTTAAGCTGTACGATTGTCATGCCAACGTGCCTAGTTATGGTGTTCTTTTTACGTTTGTTTCTACTGCGAGGCCATTTGGAGGTGACAGTTCGTTCCCTGCACGTTTACTATAGCTTTCGATTTTTATGGTGTCGGATGTGTCCTTCTATTTTTCTACTTCTTTCTGTAAGTGCCGATCAAACGGGTCATTGTTTCTTTGTTAATTATATATGAAAGAAATTCTCTCTTTCACCAGCACTCCCGCCTCGCGTACTTTCATACTAAAGGAATCATTTAAATCCTACGCTCATCTTCCTTCTGGTCGGCCTCTGCTCCTCCTTCCTAGTCCCATGCCTTCTGCTATTATTTTTTTTTCAATCCGCTTTGCCCCTTGATATGAGAAAAATATTTCAGCTTCGGCGACAAGATGCTATTTATTAGCCAGTCTTCCTTGATGTTCAGATGTTTTAAGATGTCAGTATTTATTCTCTTCTTTATCCACGGTATTCTAAGAATTACTAGTGATGGCTTAAACAGATTATAATGGACAGCGTACTAGAGTAGTTAAATGTAGAATAGCTGAAGGAAAGAAACGTTTCGGATGAGGAACAACATTATATGCAATCTGTCTTTGGTAATGGAAGCGAGAAAGATAGTTGTTGAAAGCCATATAGAGCCAGTCCTGAGGTACAGATGTGAATCGTTGACATTAAGTCGATTCGTGCAAATGTATGTATGTATGTTGCACCCCACCAGGACATCACACAAACGATAAACTCCCGGTGACATAAAGTGCCGCCATAGGGATGAGAATCCAGGAGAGGTTCTGGAAACCCGTTCAGTCGCAAGGCCACACTTCAGGCCCGGC